GGTGGGGGGGGGGAGGGAGACAACACAGGGCACCAGGTGCACACAATCAACCGTAACAGACATGGGGGAAGGGGAACACTTTTCAGAATAAAACCAGCAAACAGAGACAGACAACCTAAAACACAGACAGATGCACAAACTACTTTTATTTATTTTATTTTATTTAGATAATCATTCAACTAAACAGTGCTAGACTCAAGTATTTTGGAGCCTTTAATTGCCACCCCACAATGAATTAACAGAAGTGAAAGAGTTGTTCTAATTAATGCACATAAATCTCCCTCACAAAAAAAGCAATTCTGTATATAACAAATATTTGCATAACAACCAAAAATGTAAATGGTTGCAGCTTGCATACAGTATTTGTATTCAAGTACATTTTTCTATCAAACATCTGCAGAGCATATTTTCAAAGATGTGTTGCTTTTCTTTTGAAAATCATCAAGCATTGCAGTTGCAGTCTAATGTATATGACTCAAACAACTGCTCATTCATCCTGTAATATGTGCTTCATAATTGTTTGTTTGCCTTTTAACTACACTGCTTTACTATGCAGAGCTTGACTGTGCAAAATCCGCCGTGTTTATATTGAATTCGTTTTTTAAAAAGGAAGCGGAAGAAAATATACACAGTTAAAAGGGTGAAATTGTGTGTTTATTGCAAATTCCAAGGAGTGTACTGCATGATAGCTGAGGATGATTGGCCTCATGATTCATCACTGTGTCCTTTGTTTGCTCTAAAAACAATCAACAGTAATTCAATTCATGGTTCAGTTATATCAGGAAAGCAGGGGGAATGCGCAATTCCTGTGTATATGCAGTTAGGCTGGACTGAGAGGAGGGATTGTTGTGTAGTGCAGTTTGTGATATTTGGCTGGGGGAAAAAAGTGTATCAATAGTGCCACCACATGGAAAGGCCTGAACAGTTCTAATGGCTTTCTGTAAGCAAATCTTTTTTTACAAAACACTCTATTGCTACATTTCAAGCAGCATTAATAGGAAAAGTGTGTCATCATAATATGTAACCCTTCATTTTGCTTTATAATACAGTGGACAAACCCTGAAATAAATTAAAACATCCGCTATATTATATATTAAATTCAAAATCTTAGCAGCAGGCAATATGAAAATGAAGATAAAGAATAACAAGAATAAAAGCTTCGCATTGTGCAATCATCATACAATAAAGCATATTTACTTTAAAAAATATAGATCAAATATGTAAAGTTGAACTAGCTCTTGGAAAGGCTCCATTACAATTATTTTGGCTCTTCATTGTTTCATCCACTGTCACTGAGTGTCCACCACTTTCACTAACATATCACCCCCGATGGAGGTTTAATGTCAGCAAATCCGTAATACTGTAGACATCTGTTGGTCTCCAGACGGGGTGCAGGGAAGCCAAATGGGTCAAACTTGTCAGTATCAAACGTTTTTTCTTTGGAAGAGCTCATCTGGTGCTCCTCCTCAGGCTCTCCACGGTCTGCAGGAAGGACCGCAGGGCTTGGTCCTCCTCCAGGGTGGAGCAGTCCTCCTCCTCCTCCTCCTGAATGATCCCACACTGCATGCAGCGGAGGCGGGGCTCACGTTGTCCGGCCCTGCAGACACAAGCTGTGGACAGAGACTGGGGGAACTCCTCCATCACCAGAAACAGCAGATGCGCAGGGAGCGTGTCCATGCTGGTCGCCATGGTGAACGAATGTGAGGATGATGAGCTGGAGATGATGATGCACAAATGTAAATCCTTTCGTGTGAAGATCTCTAGTGTATTGGATGGGATGTCTCCACAAGTTTTGGTAAAGAAGATGCAACAAAAATCTTGAGAAACAAAAAACACAATCAGGCCGAGCTGTTTAATATTCAGTCCTGAGGGCTCTGCTTCATGAGATGATTTCAGAGATCCTGTTTTGCTCTTCGCTCTGAAAGTATGCTGTAAAATCTCAGAGAGAGTGATTGTGACTGAGCACCACCAAGCTCCTCTTTATATACTTCTCTGCAACCCACTCCTTTCTTCCTTTTGGGCATCCCTCCACACAGACGCTCTCCCTCCTACACGCTCAGCGATGACACATTTCCGCAGCTTCCATACCAGTACACCGGAAAAATCTCCCAGAAACTGTTGGCATGGGAACCGGACGGTGATGTTTGGGAGGAGGGAAGAGAGGCAGGACGTGGAAAGGAACTCATTTGTATGGACTGTGAAGATGACGAATAATGGCAGAAGTTACACAAACTGATTGACGCTGCCATGTTTTATTAAACAGAAGAGTGTGTGGGCTTGTGACAGATAATGTTGGAGATGCCACTTGGTTTACAGACATGGAACACTTTACTCATGTGATGTCTGACTCCAAACTCATTCATATTGTATCTAATACAAAGTTTGACACAACATATAAACTAGAACTGACCCATCAGATGTTCCCATTGTATATAAAATAAGCTAAGAGCTGTCCCATGGATATTCTAAAATAGAGAATGTGATACAAAAAGCAATTGACCCAAAGGTGAAACCAAGAATAACAAATGGACTGTCATCATTTGAATTAATATTTATTGATGGCTGGAAAAATGTAATTTGATTACAGTTTGTTAGAGAAAACACTTGACTGGAAGTTGGTCCCCTGCTGCTGCACCTAGAGTCAGTGTGAGTAGAAAGTGTCTTTAGGGTTATTACAGTATAACTTAAAGCTGGTATCTTGACAAAGACAAATGTAATGTGAGTGACTACAGATTTAACAAAAAAACTAACAAAAATGTAGCTTTCAAAAGAGAAAATCAAATAAATGTATCAGCTCTCATTGGTTTGCCTAATTTCTACATTTGGTTTGGTTCAACATTTTAGGAAATCAATCAATACAAGTGAAAAGATTGAGATGAATGTATGTTGTTGTTCCTGGATCTAATGCACTGTGAGAGAATTTTAGTTTTTGGTTAGAAAGTCCTGCAAAACAGTAACACCAGTGGTACAAATTAATTTGAAAATCAATTTAGTTAGAAAATAAAACACCCCTTTTAACATTCCACCAAGACATCTCCCTCTCTACTGGTTATCCATTTACAGCGGTTCCTCTTCTTTAAATTAAACACGCACTGACTTCACCACTACATTAACACCTTTGAGAACATTTAAAGTTAGAAAAACTAAACAAGAGATAACTAAGGGTTTCGAATTGGTGCTGACGAAGAATCGTCTAAATCTGAGTGCAATAGAAATCCCATAGTAGGAGTTAATGAAGCTATTAATGTCAATAGATCTCAATAAAACATGTTTAAGTGCTCTAGAAAGTAAGTAAGTATCAACTGCAGTGTAAAACTAAAAAAGGCTTAACGCTAGTAAACACATACTCAGATACACACAAATATACAGAGGCCTCAAACCTCACATGCATCCAAATTGTTCCCTCATCTAGGCTTTATCCACCCTCATGTTTAACAGACAGATGGATGGATTGATTTGGGAATAGTTTTTAGTTTCTACGTTAGTGTGCCATTCATTAAAGATGATGAAGAGCACCACTTTGTTCACTATTTTTATGTTTGAATTGAATACATGTACCGCTGCCTCACATCCTCAATGAAGGGGAGTATCGGAGGGAGGGAAACTGGGATGTGGCCCAGAAACTGTCACATTCTGTCTTCCTGGTCCATGATGGTGGTCCTGGGACGAGTGTTTAACACAGCTGGTCCCCTCTTCCTGCCGCCATGCGTCTATCTAACCCTGCTTTTGCTTCTTCAGGTAACGAGCGCGCTGGGACAAACCCATCCCCATCACATGGTTGTTGAGGATCTTGGCAGGGAGCAGAGCTGTAGTCACCCAACCCTACAGAGGGAAATTACATGGTCAGCTGGTGGCCTTTACAAATAACAGATTAGCATTCATTATATAGTTCCAACCCACAGGAGCTACAACTGCGGCGAGAAAAAGGAAAACTGGGTAGATAGCGCGGTTTTACCGTCTAGTATGTGACAAAGACATGGCTTCACATCTTGCATATAGATATTCTGATATTTTATCAAAAGCCAATCTCAGTTACTGCAGTGTCTTATAGTAAGCTGTAAAATATGGTCAACTCATCTTGCTGGATTAATTCACTGTTGTAGTATAACTTTTCTTGAAGAAATGCTCATTATTCGAACATAATGGGGAATGATGAGTGTTCACAGTATAGTGCTATGATGCTTGGTATAATACAGTATAATAATAGTTAGGGTGTGTACACCGTCAGAACAGTGTTTCCATCTGAATGATTGTGTAACTTCATGTGGAGAAGAATAGCGGACTCTGCTGCTAAGGCTAGTGCGCATGTCTGTATAAGGGGCCCACTCTCGCTCTGAGCATGTATGTGTAGGTATATGTGTGTGTCAGGTTGAACGAAGGGGCCACTTTTAAGGTTAAGGTTAATTATTATTCACAGTGCCTGAGGCTAATGAGAGCGAGGTTACAACTGGGAAAGACACCAGTGGTAAGACTCCCCTCACTTGATAGTGAACTTTGGTGAAGGTCAATAAGCGGTCAATGTGACGGAACGCCTGCAGGGCACGTGTACGGAAGTATAAATGCAAACGTCTGCAGAAAGAGTTACGGTCACGCGTGCGGAAGTGTAGGTAAATGCAAACGTCTGCAGACAAAGTTGCTGACAAAGAAACGTCACCAGGGTCAACCAATAAGGGACAAGAAGCCTCGCTATAAAAGGTGCAAATACAACATTTGTTCAACAGTGTGATCCCGGGGTCTGCTCGCTCTTTGATTGATGTCTTTTGACGTAATAAAAGTTCTATTGCATCGAACTCTGTCTGCCTCCAGCCACTTCTTTTGAACCTGCTAGAATGTGATGGGATAGTGTTGAGAAGATTGAACTGGCCCAGATCGAGATTTTCCTCCAACATCACCAAGCAGTTCAATGAATTTCTGCTTTTGCTCAAATGTTAATTAAGCTTAATCTTGACTGTATAGCAGTTATAAATCATAAGAAAGTAGCAGTTCTATAAAGCATCGTTAATGGTTATTTCATTGACTCACCAGATTTAATTAGTGAACATTTATTTTTTTATTTAATTAAAAGTGTTTCTCATGCTGCTAATTTATCTTCAGCTTTGTTATTGTCTTAATTGAAATATATATTACAAAAGCCCAGTGGATATAATAATAGAAAATTAAATGATGTTTGAACATGGTAATACACTTATTTCTACTAAGGGCACTTCACTTACACATCCATTAAGTTTTATAATTTCTATTGGTATAATTAAATATCTCAAAGACTTTTTGCAACCCTAAAAAGATATAGAATCTGGTGAACTTGTAGAAGGTTCCGTCTCACAGCGGTGTAAATTACATTTTGGGTATGTGTGGATTATTACTGTGAGACGGGCAGAGCTGTGCTGCACAATTGAAGGCAGAGGGATTATCAGATAATCAGAGCAGACGCTGCTTGTCTGCAGCTTTTGGTTTAGTGTAATATCAGAGCTAGTGACAGGGAAGATCTGTGCTGAGTTCACAATATCTGCACCATATCCAGTGAGTGCGCAGTATCCACAAAGGCTTTTTTAAGCTGATAAAGAACATTAGTGTTGATATTAGGGAGACGTTGTTCAGCAGCGTCTAACACAAAGTGGAGGAACAGGAGAAAATGTCACACTGAACTTTCTGCTGCTCGTGTCCCTAAAGAATCATTTCAGTGTTAGAATTCAGACTAAACTGCCAGGTATTTAGATTTCAGAGGATGCTTTTGCTACATCATGCTGATTATATAAATGTACAACAATATGCGGAGGAAGGTCTGGCCTGCAGTAGGATTTAAAGTTCCAACTGGCTCTTTCTGCTGATCTTGAGTCATTCTGAGTGGTGAGTGAGTTATGAGTACACGCATCTGACAACACAGTGCAGTTCTTCAGTTAGAGTTAACACCAGTTTCCAAAAGATGGGAAACATCTACAGGAAGTTTGTGCCAGGCATTAAATAAAGCAGAACAGAACAGATAGAGCACCAATGAAGATTGAATTTCACTGAATCCTTTTTTTTAACCAAGAAATGGTCACAAAATGGTAACCCTCTGTTCTTTAATCCTAACGTTACATACCAAGACTTACCATAATGGCATGTGGCAGGTAGCCATTGGTCTGGGTCTGCAGACCCACTGTGTTGAGCTCGGCTGACACGTAGCGCTCTGGACTGGGCTTGTCCAGTGTAGCACGCCGGATTTTACTCAGCTTGGTTGCAACGAAAAATGGCAGAACACTCTGGGGGGAACAATAAAGGAGAAACACACGTGAACAAACAGCATGTCTTGTTTGATAGCATGTTAAGAGTATCGATACATTGTTGAAACCACATTTCATTTTCTTTAAGCCTTAAATGGGACACAGTGCTCATTTTTAGATTCATACTTATCTTGCACTGTCTGACTGAGTGCACCTGCTTTTACCCACTGGCTGAAAGATCTGTTTCGGCACCTGTCTCTTTAAGCTATGCTCCCAAAAAAAGCCCAGTCTGCTCCGATTGGCTTGGAAAAAATAGGATTTATTTTGCAAAGGCAGTTTTCTAACTGCGGCTGGAAGAAGGGGGTTCATAAAAGGTCTCCTTAAAATTGCCTTTTGCATGTACGAACTATTGTTATGATTCTTCATCATCCAAAGCATGTTTGAAGGAAAACTAAGGTTGGCTCATCTACCTGGATGATGATGCCTTTGCTCTTGTATTCAGCTTGCAGTCCTCGTGAAAAGAAGTCCACAAATGCCTGTTTAAGACAAAAGCAGGTCATTAAGTCTACAATTCCAGTCAAATAAAGATGGCAACAAACATAAAAACACATTCACGTAAACATTGCTGTCACAATGTTAAAGTGTAATGAACTGAGACGATTGTTAAAATGCACATTAAACTAAAGATTGACCCTGGATGGATTTTTGATGAACTTTTAAACCTGTATTGCAGATTGAAGGATTAAGTAAATAAACATGGCCCAGAATTAAGACACAAATTAATCGGCTGAAAGTGTGAGCAGCAGGCGGTTTTTAAGCTAACAAAGACACATGAGACCGTTATAAAGTGTTATGACGCCATATGCTCCTATAAACATTTTTAATTGGTACACTACCTCGGGACCCGGAGTTAGTCAGAGAGTTATTTATGTTCAACAATTAAAAACGGCAAATATGAAAAAGGACACTTTATCCCAGCGTCCAAATAAAGGCTGAACAAACGTTAATCTTCATCGGTAGTGCCTCAGTGTGTGTTAGTTAGAGCAGGGGTTCCCAACCTTTTTTCCCAAGGGCCCCCCCAAATGACTCCTGTTGGAAGTTGCGCCCCCCCCCCCCCCCCCCCCTAGTGTGTGTGTGGGGGGGCGCAACAGTGGTAATTAAAGGTTAAAAGTCTCAAAATGCTACAACTACTGCCACAAACTGGATGAATGTGAAGTATTTTGTTAAAGGACGATGAAAGCGTAATTAAGGAGCACTATTGGAGTGACTTTGATGGTTATTGGACTCAGGATTCATTAATGTGGATTCCCGCTGATGTATGAAGAAATTAAAGGACGGCGCAAGTTTAAACAATTCACAAAGGCATTAAACTGTTTAAAACACATGCTCAAAGTAAGCCAGATTTTGCCGTTGTGTTTATGTGGATTCAAAAGTCGTAAATAATCTACAAAATGGAGGAGACCGATCTGATCGGAGCAACTGTGACTAATAATCCAACTGAAACCGGCATGGACAATGACTATGTTTTAAGAATGCGCTTATCCAGAAAAGCCTGGTTTGGACACTTTACGGGCAGAAGAAACATTTCTATTAAAGAAAGAATTATACATTTCTGTCTTTTTATGCCTTTAATAGCTACTAACTTTTATTTAATTGTTTTTATTCAAATGAATTAATCAATTATTTTTTTATATTTTGTTGTAATGTAGAGACAAGGCCTTTAGTGACAATCATGTATTGCGTCACAATTATATTTAAAAATATATGATATTTGGCCTCAAATCATCTGAGGACTGGCGCCCCCCCCCTGCGATCTTTGGCGCCCCCCAGGTTGGGAACCACTGAGTTAGAGGACTAGAGCAGGGGTGTCAAACTCAAGGCCCATGGGCCAAATCCGGCCCGCTACCTCATTTTATGTGGCCTGCAAGAGCTTTCATAGTATATAATAAAATAGGTGTAATTGTTGAATATTTGCTTTCAATTATTTGCCCTAGACTTCTGCTTTCAGACGTAGTTAATTATGAAGTTATTACCAGAACTGATAATAATCCAATGCAGAGCCAATAATGTAATATAATATATTATTTTATATATATTTATATATATATATATATTTATTTAGTTTTCAGAATCACAATCAGAAACAGGTTTATTAGCAGGTAGGTTGACACGTACGAGGAATTTGACTTGGTGTTGTGGTGCATATATAAAACTAAAACAAAAATGTAAAACACAGATAGAGAACTATTTAAAAAATATATATAATAACGTAAAAAAATATAATAAAAAATATAAAAAATGTAGTAAAATATAGCAGTATTTACATAGAAATAGAATGGAATCAAATATGTGCAGTAAACTTAAAGTTACAACCGGCCCTTTGAGTGCAACCATAATGCTAATGTGGCCCGTGATAAAAGTGAGTTTGACACCCCTGGACTAGAGAGACCAACTCCTAGCATGAGGAAGAAGATGGATTCCCCCTCATGGAGCGCAGGATGTAAACCGTTAATGGTCCTGGGATGCGTCTATCGAAAACATGTCAGTTAACACTTGAAGAAAAGGCCATAAACCATGTACTCCAATTACCTTAGAGGCAGAGTAGACGGTGAGGAGAGGGAAGGGGTACATCCCACTGGCAGAGGAGATGTTGAGGATGGCACCCTTCTTCCTGGAAACACAGGAATATAAGCAGAGGATCCTTTACTCTGAATAAAAACTGCCTGAAATCAATCGCAGTATGATAGGAGAACATGGCACTCTGTGTGTGTGTGTGTGTGTGTGTGTGTGTGTGTGTGTGTGTGTGTGTGTGTGTGTGTGTGTGTGTGTGTGTGTGTGTGCTAGCTGAGGCAAAACTGCTCCATATGTATTGTGAAGATGAGATGGTAGATATTGATCAAAGATACTGGAACATCAATTCCTCAATGTATAAGTGTTGATATACTTTGCTACAGCCTGTTGTGTGTTCATACAATATTTAATATAACCAAGAGGTGGAAGATATGTTGGATGTGTATATGATGGCCAGGCAAGTGACAGCCTTCAGAATTACTTTCCCTCAGCTACAAGAAATATCTGAAACCTGTATAAGTCAGCTGTAAAGCAGAGTTAAAGATTCTATCACATAACAATGCCCAATGTAACAGATGGTACAGTATGTATAAGTAATAGTGTTGTCAATTAAAATAATGTTTCCATAGAGCTATTGCAAATAACAAGCCGTTTGAAGGTCAAGTTTATTAAGACATGCACAGGTTGTTCAGTGTGCAATATGTTAACAGCTTTGTTGTCCTTTGAGTTATTGTATAAACGGGTCACTATGATGCATTATGGGATGCTGTGGTGGTTGATACAGTTCAAATCAATGTCACAATTTAAATCAAAATATGGAAGATAAATTGTTGATAAATTCTTCAGTGAAATAAAAAGAGTTAAACATTGTGGAAAATGTGCTTATTAAAAGGAATTTGCTGTGAATGGCATAGAAGTGGTTTGGCAAATAACCGTCATACAACCACTATGAGATTACACTTCAGTTCATGTACTGATTAAATCATTACGATAACACTGAAGGCAGATTTTTTTAGACTTTGGAAAGAGTGCAAAACCTCCAGCTACACTTTTAGAACAATGCGCAGGGAAGAAATGAATATGCATATTTCCCAAAAATATTCCTAAACTATCCTTTAGCCTTTGCATTTCACACACATGTTCAGGTGTATAATGGAAAAAAAACAATTCATTTGAATTGTAGTCATTGATTAACACGACACCAACCACTCAAGTCAAAGCTCTCTATAGCGCCTGATTGTGCCATTTGTGCCGGCGGTAATTACTACCAATCACAGTATTGTATCAGCAAAGCAATTATTGTTGAAATCACACATCTCACCTCTCCACCATTCGAGGTAAAACAAGTCGTGTCATCTGGGATAAACAGTGGGAAGAGAGATGAAGTGTGAGAAACATAGTGAAAGCATTAGACTGACAAAAAGTGGTCTGTTGATGTGTGGGTTGTGGATAAGTGTGCGGACACTGCGGAGGTGTGCATAAACATTTGTAACCGTGTGTGTGGGTAGTTTTCGGAGAGGTGGTCGTGGAGCGAAGAGAAGAAGAGAAAGGGACTGATAATGATCGCAGAGGGAGCAGTTTGAAGAAATATTGATGACATAAATTAGGTCTAAAGAGAGGGGGTGGACTTTAGCTGCTGCTCTGGGAACTGGCAAACATGGAGAAGAGGGACGGAAGTGACTTACTATACTTTCCACGAGTGTGTGTGTGTGTGAGTGGGTTTATGGTCTGTGGGACTATCTGACAGTGGATCTCAAACTATGTCATCCATTTGAATCTACTTGGTGAAACTTAATTATTTAAAAGGCAACCCAGATGCCACAGTGAGACATACAACACACATTAATGAGTCAATATCCACAAAGTGCATTTTGAGCAGGGCGATCCACTAATTATGATAATATAAACCAAGTGTCTTCAAAATCATTTTAGCACCGCTTAAACTTTATCATTTTTTTATTACTTTGAACTTGAGTAAAACGCAGACAGTTGGCTGTAATCACTGCCCGTAGTAAATTTCAACTTGAAAGGGGAAATACTTATTGGTTTGATTTGTTTCATCTTTGACACTAAAATGTCCTTTTTTTTGGTGAGTTAAAAAGCTCCAATGACACATCAAGGTTTTAGATCACACTCACGTGGCACACGGACGTTATGTTGATGTTGACCATGGTGTCGATGAACTGAAACAAGAAGAACAGGAGCTTTACTTCAACCAGGGTCGCGTGTTTGTGTATTAACATACACATATTGTTCAGAAATGTACACAATGATGTTTGTACAGCAGATTTCAGATGTCATCTAGTGATTTATTATAGCACAAGAAGATAGACAAGGGCTGTCACTGTGTACATCTTAAATATGAACCAGCATAAACATTATCTTACAAATGAGAAGTGTAATTCTTAAGCAATAAAACTCACTGTTGCTCAATTGGATGGTGCTCCTGCAATCTTTCTTAGCCTGGATAACCACCAGAAGCTAATGGTGGCCAATATTAGCTAAATGTAGGTGGAAATTGCAGTTGTTTTTTTAGGGCTCTATTGTACTCATGATATACTGCTCTTTACTATGTGCGGTGTTTGCCTTCTTTCAGCAGAAGGCATAGGATTGCTTTATGCAGACAAGATAGTTTAACTGCATTATATTACAAAAAATGAAAGCATTTTCCAGTTAATATTTAAAATCGTACTGAGATGGCCACACTATCCAGTTTCATTATGTCTGAAGCGTGGTTTTGATTGCATGAGTTGCCTATTCAATGTAAGGCTGAAAGAATCATTTGAGCCCAAAACAAAATGTGACAAAAATACATAAACTACATCTTATGGGATCTGCTATTATAGCCACTTCCCTTCCTTTTTAATCTTCACAAGACTGCGTGATATTATAAATATAATCCTTTATAAAAATTCATGGCTAATAGAATAATAATAACCATCAAACTTACAGTCTCCAGGTCGGGAACGTTGAGGAAGAATTCAGGGTAAGAATAGGATATTCCAACATTGTTGACTATAAACAAGAGATAACAAACAGGACTGTGACATAATACAAATAGTACATAATGCTACATAAGAAGATGTTAATGAGTTCAGAGTGCTGTTCCTCTTTCTTATCTTAGGAGGGCAGCAAAGGGCTGAAGATCAAGGATAAATTAACCTCTATGACTACATGAAAAACTGACATTTAATAGAGTGGAGTTTAAAGCATTCCTTACGTCTGCAGTTCTTGATTTAGATTGAATTTGGGATCTCAAATGGGAAAATAATTCAAAGTGAGGTGGCCCAAGTCTTACCCAATACTCCGATCTCCAGTCCTGCAAGTCCATCTTCAATCCTGGAGTAGATATCTACGGCGCTGAAGTCTGCTGCGATCGTTTTGGTCTCCACGCCACATTTACTCGCTGAGGGGCACAACATATTTTCATTTTGCATATATGACAAGCGATGAAACATTTAAAGTGTTTAAAGCTTGACTCTTTTTCTTACAAATAGTCACATGAAAAAGGAAGAGCAGAGGAGAAAAAATTAAACCCTGAGATAATCCGTCTTCATCAATGAGGATATCCCTCCCTTAAGATGAAGCTTTCATTTAATTGGACAGATTCCATTTAAGCTCCAGCAGGAGGCTTTACTGCCTCCTAGCCAAAGCACAGGGGTCCTGCTCAATCTCCACTCAATAAGGGCTCACTGATGGAAAACCTGCAACTCAATGTAATATCATTTAGTCTTAGTCATTTAGCCCTGCTGCCCTATCACAGTGCAATATGGATGCACCATTTCACATTCAGGATAAACGAGGCTGTGTGGATCATTAAGACTGAGCTACACTTTAGCAGCTGTCTTATTTCAACACATGAACTACATCAGTCCTGTGCCTTTGAGCCACAGGTACTCTTGATCCCCCCCCCACTGTAACATGTGGGATTAATTAGATTGAAGGATTAAGGCATATTATGACAAAGCATGTATTTCACCATGATTGATATGCTACTCATCTAAAGAGAACTTTACTATGCATTCATTTTCCAAGTTGGGCAACATTTGTCTGCAATCACTGTGTTTAGCAACTCACCGATCGCCTTTGAAACGTCATCCAGCTTCTCCTGAGAGCGGCTGATCAGCACGATGGCAAAGCCTCTGCGGGCGAGCTGTAAACATAGACAACATGTCAATAAAGCAACACAGGTGACACTGTGAAATTCAATCATGAACTATTTTAGCACTCAGTTTGCTGGAAACAGGGTGGAAACTAAAAAGTTATTTATGGGATATTTACCGCTTCATTCAAAGTTGTACTTTAAAATAGAGTTAGGGAGTTGAAGTCTTGATTTGTTTAAACGTGTACATTAGATTTTGACGTGTCATTCTAGTTCTAAACATCTCAAAAAGCCATTCTTTTTTTTTTTTATCTGAAGATTTTGTTTTGGCCAGCACTCATAAAATGTTACTTTGGAATTGAATAAGATTCATCTTGAAGGCATGGATCTGAAAGCACAAACTTGTGAGGGACCGTTTGAAGAAGCCTTTATATTCCGGTGCAAGAAAAATAAATCTTGTAAGTCTTAACTACACAATATGATGAATGGTAATTACAGAGACAAATGAAATGTTTGCAGAACTAGGATTACAACACACCTACTGCAGCTTACAAACCACCCCTTCAAGTACAAAACACCATGTAATAATACAAGTGTTCTAAGTAATAATACGTGGGTGTTTCCCCCCCCCCTCCCATCTAGTTTCACTGTGGCCCTGTGTTGTTTGAGTCTGAAGTTTTCCAGAGCCGGGAAATCATACCTCTTCTGCGTAAGCTTTCCCGATCCCATCTGTGGCTCCTGTCACGACTAAAAATGAAATAGGAGAGATAGAGACCGAAATCAGCAAGTTGTACATCACATTCTTTTAAAATATGAAAACACAAACTTTAATGAGGCAAGGTATGTTCATCCATATTAACTGAAGAAAATGCAAAATACAGAAACGACAATAGATGACTTCAATCAGCATAAATGTGGGCTCAATTGGAGCTCATCAAAACTGACAAATGGATTCTTTGACTTATCTATATGCCCTGTTTCAGGATCAAACCATCAGTATTACTCTGCTGCTACGTTAGCCTTCACTCATGCAGGAATAGTAGACTCATAGACATTCTAAACAAATATGAACACAGCCCAGAAAAAGAAAGCGCCACATATGAACAGGTGAAGTGCGCCACCTCCAGGAGAGGAAGCGCCACAGAAATCCAAGGATAAAGATGTCAGAGTTATGGACTGCTTGACAGCTAAGGGCTCCGTGTTAAGGGCAGTACAAAAAAAAGATGGACAAAGGTTCGAAGAGGCATTCGAAAAATACTAATTAATTGACTTGTAAGGGTAAAGGGCTACATTGGATTGTAGTCAGATATACTGTGGTACACGGAGAACAGACGAGGGGAATAAGGAGGACGAAGAGAGAGGAAGAGTGATAGAGATAAAGAGAGTGAGATCCTCTCTTCAGCAGCGCCAGTGAAGCGAGCGGATGCCCTGGAACTGCCTGGCACAAACAGCAGCAGCAGACTATTTTTAGCAATTCCCGTCTTCAAAAGGAACTATTCATCACACCTCTGGCTAAATATAAAAGTGGGCGCGAGAGGGATAGAGGGTCAGGGCGTTTCGATATGTCCCTGAATGACCTGCAAAGCCCGGCTCAAGGAGCATCCTACTCCTGTGTAAACTTACATCCCGTGTATTTAGGTCGTACTATGTGTAATTATTATCGTGTTCTTATTTAATGGAAATGTTTTCTTCCTCGTTTGTTGTTTGGACTTGTGAAAGTGAGGGATATTTATGGTTTAGGTCAAATCAGTCTTAGTCATCGAAAGATTAGAACACTTTAGACAAAAGTAGTTTTTTTGGTTGTTCCTGTGTGCTGCCATTGGTTTTGTTTTTAACTACAATTCAGGTAATTAAAGAACACTAGCAGAATATGACAGAGCAAGCCAGAGACAGCTCTGTGGGGGAATGAAGCATGCCTGATGGAGGAGGCACCATCATAAGAGGGAGATAAAGCAGTACAATGACACATGTTACTCTAGTCATGTCAAAGGAGCTGTGCTTCATTTGAAAGACCGCAGGTTCAACTTGAATTGTTAAGGAACTGAGGTTGCCTTGTAAGGCAACTCCAATTGGTCAATGCAGTTGTCTCATTAAAATGAGTCCAAGATTCAGTCTCACCATTTTGTATTTAGACCAGGAATGCATTGAATCTTCTTTTTTCTCTTTCAGAGTCAGTGTTGATACTAGGCGTGTTACGATGTAAAGCAGTAGTGACAATAACCATGATATTAAAAAAATGTTGACATAATATTGATAATGCATACATACAAATGTTTAGTATATTATGAAGTGCCTCTTAAGTTTAACCGTCTATTAGTGAAACAGTTTGGTTAGAGACTCTATCAACCTCCCCCTATTCAGATTTGGAGTGTAATTAAGATACCAAAACAAATAGCTTGATTATATCAACCTGCCATATTAGTTAAGTAATTCCTAATTAAATATTTATTTTTAAAAAGGAGATGAGTTTCTGTGATGCTACTGTTTATAGGCATGTGGTTCAGTAAAATACTCTCTCTCTAAGTGTACAAATAGTGCAGAAAAACCATCCATTTCATATTTTTAAATCACGCAATACTAATGTTTTAACTTGGGAAGAGTTTCTAAATCAATATCTGGTGGAATCACACCAAACTATTTCATATTTCTCTCTCTGCTCCGTCCAACTACCCTTTGCAGTACACATGTGCCCCTTTTGTGATCTTGCTAAGCACAGATGATGCAGAGGTGCCGAGCATCGTCTAGGGCTGCAGCGGAGACAAACAGGAGGAGGGGGGGGGAGGGAGGGGAGAAAATGACAAACACGAACATGGGGGATCCTGGGGCCACCTAAAAATAGCACGGAGCAGAGGAGGGGAGAGTGATGGGGCGTCTGCAGGCACGATGATTAGGGAAACATAGGCTGGGTTATTCTGAGCGGTTTTAAGAATTAACTATTTGAATCTGGAACAGAGAAAAAGGAAAGAAGCTTCTACAGCGGAGTGCATGTTCCCTCTCGTCAAATCAACCAAAGTCTATTTTAGGAACTGCTGTCTTCTCCGAATGTAGGTTAGACAGCCTGGGTGCTCTGATGATGGAGCTGCTCTGTGTCCGCATGGGGTTATTGGGTTTGATAGACAGCTTCATTCGATTGTGGAACATAATTGAAGGACTGGAAGTAAATCACAATTATATGCACCTAAAATATATATAATAAGTCCAGCCCTTCTTCCAGAGGTGCTTTATCTCCACTAGTGGCCTATGTCATGCAGAGATTTTTGCTAGAAGACACGTTTTGTTTATTATACCAATATCCGCAATCTTTGTGTGGACATGTGTGCACGTTGTGGTCTGTAAGCAAAGTGTACAGGCAGGATTAGACCATATGGTCTAGCTAATGACATGTCAACAGTGACATAATGAGAAGAAGTACAGACGTCACAGCAGAGACAGAGGCTATTATTGCCACTGTTCTTCGGGGGGGATTTTTTCTGCCTTGGAAGAGATCTAAAGCAAACAGCAAACAGAGAGTGATCAACCAACTGTGATGTAGAGGGGAAACGTTGATTCCTTTAAAGATTGGTTGATTGGTGTAAAATAATAAGGAACGATTTGTAATAATCCATTGTTTGTTTTTTGATGAAATGCTGATTTATCTAACAGCAAACTGAACATCTTTGGGATTTGAACATTTGAAGTTCACGGATATAAGACGGGACATCATCATATGGAATTTTCTGTCATTTAATTTGAAATAGTCATTTGTTGCAGCTTTAATTGAATGTAACATTGCATGCCCTATTGTAACATTTAAAACAATACAATTGTTAACTTCTGTGTCTGAAACACCAGGGTGATGAGTAATTATATAACAAATGAAACCATTTGTATATGTCAGCGTTAGCATCAGTGACTGAGCCCTGATAAAATAAATATAGCTTTTATTTTGTCCCATCATCCGGTTGATAATACAAAGCTATTTAAATGTATGAACGTGGTACCAAAGCCCTCACAAGTTTCTAATTGAATGTTTGTGTACAGTTTAAAGCTCGAATGCATAAGAACTAAGAAGATCACAATTGACACCATATTTCCATATACAAGCAGTGACATGATTGTGAGGAAGTAGCTGAAACTTTCTACATTTTGTTTCTTAACTTATATAATAGAAGCATTGTCTGAGATAGCATTAGGATATAGTGGCTCTCTGTTATACTGCCACAGACTCACACACAAGAAAGTGAGATGTGGGTGCCAGTGAGCCTGCATCCCGAGGATCCTGCGTCTCATTTATGAATGGCTCGGGTTACATAATCAGGCCGTCCTTTTCAATCGAGTCCACCTCGCTAAGACAAACGTTGTGAATGAAGGCAGTGGCAGCAGCCGAGGCCAACGGGCTCGTTTGCCTCATCGGATATTCTGAATCATTTTGCATGTGTGATCCAAAAACAAATAAACCCGTCTGACGCGTTCCCATTTTTAGCTGCAGAAAAAAAGATCCAAGCGCGCATCCTCTAAACATTTGGGTTTCTCTGGCAGCCTGATGCCACTGTGACTGCACAGGCTGAAAAAAGACTGCTCAGATATTTTAAGAGGGGGTGTCTCAGTGAAACGATCAATATTCACACATCAAATGATTCAGGATTGGGATTTAAACACTGAAAATGGATGAAAGATGTATCCGAAAGCTGACTAGTAACAAGGGTTTTTCTTCCATTGAGCATTGAGGATATAACTTTTTCTTCCAAACTACGATATGATTATATCAATACTTATACAGATGTATGTAATACCAGTGGTCCGACAGATTTTTATGCTATCATGTGAACCTTGGACACCAACATTACAACATCAAATCCATCCCAGCAGTCTGTTCAAACTGCAAGGGTCAGTCAGTGAGCCGTCTGGACAGATGGACAGCATTCAGTGTGATTTGATAATCCCCTTGGAGCCATAATCCCATGACAAGATTTACTCGAGTTTACACCAGATGACAAAAGGCTGATCATTCCCTGCCCTTTCTTTATTCCTTGTTAAAATGACCACAGACTAACACTGACCGCAGTCTGCTGCTGGGACAAAGGAGCTATAGTGTGTAAAAAATGTGTGTGCTGGAGAAACACCAGGGAGAGACTTCACAATCACCAGTGTGAGACAGGCAGGGTGAACTTATCATGCAGCTGGGACACATGGTGTTCATGTCCTGTGCCCAGAACAACACTCAAACAATACTTCATCCATTTGTGCACATAACTGACTTTTTTTAAATTGAGAATGTTCAAAATCAGTTACACCATTTGACTGAAAATCTTTTTTCTTATTCAAGTTATTTAGTGTTTTCACTTTAGGACTAATGTAGGTTTATTATATTTTAGACTAACGAAATGGTCTCTCTCGACAATTAAATATATTGCTCAGCTATTGCTCTCACTTTGTCCCGACAAGATTGTAAAATGTATTTATGGGGTAAATATTAAAAGCAGAAAGTGTTTCCTAAATGCAGCTCCTGTTCCAAGGCTTCATTGCTCAACTGCTAAAGCTGATAAGACCGTAGGATTTAAAGTTAAAAGTTAAATTTAAAGATGTTAGCTGTTGCTCCATATGATTAAACACAAAATAGTACTATTGGCAAATTAAACTGGAGGCAGGCGTGGAATTGTTAAAAGCTGAGCTGCAGCAGATCAGAGATTCTGGAAGAGGTCAGAGTTGCAACAGAATATCGTTTACAGCCAGAAGGGGTCAGTGAGCAGGTTGTAAATGTCTGGTTTATAGAGAGGCGAAGTCCGGCCCATCTACTTCCGACCCATGGGACCTCGG